CAAAGGATTAAGAGCTCTGTGGTAGGAACTGGAGTCAAAGCCCAAACATTAGAACAAAAGACCTTCTTTACACCCCTATCTGCAAGATTTTAGGAGCTCTGTGTCAGGCACTGAGTGCAGAGACCAAGTATATATATATATCATTATATCACAACATCACAGGGGTGAGTCTTGAAGACATCAACATGTTGTCCATAATTTCCACTCTGAATTCAGTGCTGCCCTGCTTTGGCTCAGGACCAAAGTATCACCATCGCCTGGGAGCATGTGACAAACGCAGAGCACAGGCCCCTCCCCAAGCTGGGCAACTTGAAATCTGCTTCTGGTAACAAGAGTCCCAGGAGATCTGTGGGCACAGAAATGTTGGCGACACTGATTCGGCCATTCTAAAGCTAACAGAGAATATTATGGTAGTAGCAAAAACAACCAGCACTCTGAACACAGAACTCTGTGCCCAGAACCCTGTTAGCTCCCTCCATGTAATAGCTCCTTTATTAGCAAGTGCAGAGGTCATGAGGCAGGACTGTGACAGGGGCAGTAGATTAAAGATAGAAGGGCTGGGGTGGGGGTGGGAGTGGAGCAGGGTGACCGTGCCCAAAGAAGGGGAGAGGAGATTCAGTGGGGGGAGTGAGGGTCTGACTGTCGCAGGGCCTTGTGGCAGCAGTGGGGACTGGGCTTTCGGTGATACCTCCACAGGCAGCCCCCCCGGCCCATGTTGAGCCAGTGAGGTCCCCGTGGTACCCATCTCATTGTCTGGAGAGCATCAGGTCCCATCCCTGTCACTCAGATTGTGGCACCTGCTCTGGCAGCTGCGCTTCAGTGCTTCTAGTTAGCATCTGTGAGAGAAAGCAATGGGGACTCATGAAGGAGGACGCTGGGGCAGAGGCAGGTGGGTGGCATGAAAATGCAGGGATTTCCCTCCCTCGTGTGAGTGTGGGAACATGGACTCAGGCGGGGTAAACCTGCGGTGGCCATGCACACATAAGAGCCCCAGGAGGGACAAAGACATGTTCAGTGGCAGCAAAAGAAAACACACCAACCACAAATTTTCCATTTCTCTCCAGCTGGCCATACAGAGTGTGTGTGAGTGAGCGTGCGTGTGTGTGTGTGTGTGTGTGTGTGTGTGTTTGGTGGGGGGGAAGTTCCTCCGGGACTCCCTCCTTGGGCTAGAATAAGTCACAGAACTAAGCGAAACACTTTCCTTACTATTACTTATTATACAAAGTACAACTCAGGAACCTCCAAATCCAAGAGACGCATAGGGCAAGGTGTGCGGGAAGGCACAGAGCTCCATGCCCTCTCTGGGTGTGCCACTCCGTGTTCACCAACCAGGAAGCTGTCCAAACCCCACAGTTGAGGGTTTTGATGAAGGTTCCATTACATAGGCTTCACTGATTACAGCATTGGCTACTGGTGAGGAATTCAACCTCCAGCCTCCTCTTTTGGAGGTGGGGCAGCAGAGCTGTGGAGCTAAAGGTTACAAATCTCTAATCAGCACTGGTTTCCCTGGTCCCCATCCAGAGGCTATCTAGAGTGCACGCGTGAGCACCCCCTTGCCCCACCAAAGTCCACGCGTGCAGATCTTCCCCATGCACAGATGCACACACAGCAATCCCTGTGCCTGCACGATACCTCTCACAAACATCCCGTGACACACCCGCAAAGACCTCTACACGTGAGTCACACTCAGGCACACACAGAATGACTCAGGCACACACAGAATGACACAAGCACACCCAGGCCACCCGGCTTTGTGCTGGCAGGCACACACGCTGAGCCATCCTACACATTTGCACACTGTACAGCTAGGGCTTGGTCTGGAGCTCACAGACCCTTCGAGCCCATTCACAAACCTTTCGCACGCAGGTCTATGAGCTAGGTAACCAACAAAAATGTCCTTGGAGCCTTGGTTGAAGTAGGAATAGTCTTTATTCAGCACACACAACACTATGAGCTAGGCAGTACAAACACCAATTCAAAAACTCCACCGCTACTGGCAAAGTCCACTGGAAAACCGAGCAGCTGCCAGCAGAGTAAACATGTTCTATTTTTAGACGTGAGCTCTGATGACCAT